GTCTAGATAGCTGGATAACGGGGCCGGGAGTATTCCAGAGCGCCAGGGAATCCAGAGATATAGTCAACAGACTACTGAAAGTGATTAGTTTTCCAGCAGAGGCGGGGAGAAAAATATACGCCTGATAAGAAAATTGTAACCAGGGCGACCTCGTTTTTTGTGCGATTTGAGATTCAAATATTCTACAATATAGAATCTATAGAAATGAAAATATAAATAAATACGATGGCTTAGGAATAACAACAACAATTAACAATGAGAACGAGATCAGATCGAGGTCTTAATGGTTCTTATATTAAGTACTATACTAAATAAACCTTAACTATACTTATCCTTATAACTACACCTTTACATAATAATTTCTACCTCTATATCATCTCAGTTATCTTGAGTTCGTGCCCAAATAAATTGTTTAAACACGTTTGGGCTGTTTAAATATTTTCACTAATTTTTACTCTTTGCTCTCAAATAAAGGCAAAACCAATAAAATCATTCAAATCGATGGATAATCAAAAGCTAACGTTTAAATATGTGTTAAGCTTTAATTAAAATAAACACGAGAATGAGTCGAGACGGGTCTAAAAATCTGGTTATAGTCTAAGGAGAGAAGGGTTATCAGAGGTGGGGTGTGTGTAGAGTAGCCCACCAACGGAACTGCAATAACAAGCCCCATACAACCACAACAGCAACACGAAGCACGTCAGCCTATTTAGATGTAAGATCAGCGATAGACAACGCGTAAAAAAAGAGGTTGGCTATAAAAAAAGAGGAGTCTTTAGAGCAATGCAGACGATGGCACACACCTGTCTCCAGAAAGAGCTGCAACCAGGTGGAGGGGGACTATATGTACAAGCAGGAACAACAGCATCGAGAAGGTAAACGGCGCCGATAAATGTATGCAAAAAAGCAAAACGATGTTCCAGCCAGAAGGAGTACACCTTTCCTGCCAGCCAAACATCCTACCCCTTACCTCAATCCTAGAGCACCTTGTACTCCTCTAGAATGAGACTAGAAGGCCGCACCTTCAGGGAAAGATGAAAAAAAATGTAATCTACAGTGGTCTATAAAATAAATATTATTTTAATATTTTTTAAAATTTTTATAGAACCTAAAATAATATTAAAATATTAAGAAAAGAAGAGACCCTCTTTCTCTGAAGAATTTTTATTTTGAAGAGGCCTTTTAGCCCCTACTGTCTACCATCTCCCGCCTTGTCGTGTGTCTTTAGTTTTTTGCTAATAATAATATAGAAAAAAAATCTAAAAAATAAAGAAAAACAGCAGAGATCAGCCGAGCGAAAGAACAAGCGAACATCACATGACAAGTCGGATGGTGGATCGGTCTCGAGACCTGCCCACAGGCCAATCCACTGGAGAGGGGACTGTCCGGCTAGAGTGCTGCCTGGTTGGGAGGTTCTGAAAGAGATCGCTCTTTGCTTATCGCGCTTATCAAATCGCCAACTGACAGCTGGCAGCAGCATAGACTGGAGACGGCTGCAAACTGGAAAATGCAAAGTCCCTCCTGCCTGCCAGCTAAAAAATATGGCCAAGGTTGCTAGATGGGAAATATCCATCAGGCTATGGAGAGAGCTTTTTGTTGGACTGATTTACGAAGCAATTAGTGGAGATCAGTCAGATGGTTGGGGATTTAAGAGATAAAAGTGGTATTAGAATAGATGTTTTATAACAAGATCCAATAAATATTTTAAGCCGTTCTATTGTTTTTCAAATTTTACTTTAAGAAAGGCCCTCCCCCCACATGGCGTATGAGTGATCATAAAACACCCATACGCCCCGTAAACCCAAGGTGGCAACATAAACCCCCCACTAACCCTAACCGTTTCTGTTTCTTATCAAAACAAAAATTTTATTTAATCTTTGGCTAGATGGGGAAAATAAACGAATACCCAGTTTCGATTCAAGTTTTTGCCGAGACGTGGCTAACAGAGCGAAAACCTTATCACCAGAGGGTCGAATCAGAATAAACCGAAAAAAAAACACATTGATAAGCTACTAGGAGCTCTCGAAGAGTCTGAAACTTTTTTGTGTGTCTGTGCGATTCAGAAACGTGCTGTGCCATGGATTCCGTGTGGATTCGAATTCGGACAACCAGAAAAACACGATGAATGACAAAAAAAAAATACATACGTTTATTAAAGAGATTAGCATAAATTTGGAAATTTTATGAGCGATAAGCAGCAGCGTATAAGTATAACGAAAATATAAACCTGTTGGCGGCGCCATAACAAACAATAAGCCTGATTTCAAAACATGATTTTAAAATCCGAAAAATTTTGCGACTTGAAATTTAAATTCTTGGTCTTCAAAAACAAAGTCCAATTCAGGAGATATAGCCATTGATTATATAAGTTGGGGAGGGGTGCTTGGAGGGGCTAAAGGGGAAAGCAGCGAAAGTCCAAAGATTGTGATCTGATTAGTCACGCCTCTGGCAGAAGGGCGTCTAGACTTGGGAGACTATCAATTGACAGTTTTTAAGGTGAGCTTGTTGGAAAACACACGCTGCACTCGTGTCATGCCCTTCGATCATATAGCCTGGCTTGGTCTCTGGCCTCTCCCTTAAAGGGGGGAATAGGGTTTAATAGGGTTTAAAAAAAAATTATTAAAATTTCTTTTTATTTTAAATGAATGTCTAAGGTTGTATGAATGTTGTGAATGTCAAGCTATATTTCAAGAATATCTTCAAGAATTATTTTTTTAAGAAGAATTAAGAATATTTCAAGCTAATCTCAGAGGGAAGTCTTGAAGTATAGGGAAGTTAGATATTTTTATCGCATAATAGGGAAGTGACTAGTTTTATTCTCGTTATTTGGTTTTTTTGAGGAATTTTTTCCAACATTGAAGGTGCTATCATCATCATTACCGACTTTCAAAGTCGGAAAGCCATTCATAACTATCAAACTACTGTAGGGATTAATTTTAAATTAAAAACAATATTTCCAAATATAGTTCCACTGGTAAAATTGATGTTTTTGTTTAATTTCTTTATATTTATAATTTTATATTAAGAAATAAACACTTTTTTGTGAAAATTCGTATTTTTTAAATGTTTTACTTTAAAGTCCTCGCAAAAATCGAAATTTAAATAAACCAAATAGTAGTATTATCTAACAATTTAGTTATTATTTTGGAGATTTAGATGATCCTTGCTTTTATTTATGATGTGCACTCATGCCAGAATACAATATTATAAGATAGAAAGCATTGATTTCCGTATTTCTTAAGAAATCGCACTATAATATCTCATTCAATAAATATTTTTTTATAAATATATATTTAAAAAATATACCTTTTTTTCTAAAAAATTAACCCTATACCCCCTCTTTAAAAACAAAGGCCTCCCTTTCAAAAAGGTACAAAAAAGGGATTGGCTTTAAAAGTGTTCAGTTGCCAAGCCAGAAACTGTTTCCAGACAGATCTCTACTATTTTATTCCATCGAAGTGATAACGCAATTAGCTCTGCTCCCTCTTCTCCAACTAATTAAACTTGCCTTGTTATTATTTTTCTTGATTTTTTTTTTGTCGCTTCATATAATATTAAGAGTTCTTCTGATATTTTCAATTCCCCCCTTGTTTTCTTTATTTTTTTTGCGCAACAAATGTGCCGCAAGCCGTTTGTTTTTGTTATTTTTTTTTACGACTGCGACTGCGCAACGACTTTGACTTCCAGTCCGATTCCCGCTCCCGGGATCTCTCCCTCTGCTCTGCTGTGCGGTGCCCTGTTGAGATGAATCCAATAGGACCGGACCGGATCAGAGTAGAGCTCGCCAGACAGAAAATACATCCACCCAGCCAGACCCAGACCCAGACCAAAACCGAAACCGAAACCCCGAGAGCAAAGTACAGAGACGAGACACTGCACAACAGCAGACAATGTTGGCAACCGGTTTGCGATTTATTTTTATTTTTTTTACCAGCCTACCCCTCCCTACATCCATCCACATCCATCCAGAGCGTATAGCCCGAACAGCCCTCTCTCGGCTCATTATTATTATTTGCTGAATATTTAACATTGAAGCTGGTCGAAGCGGATTTTTCATGGAACACACACGAGTACAGAAATCAAAGAATTATAGTTCTTTATAGTTGGGAATTATAGAATACCTATTAAAATTTTTAATTAAAATATTACTGCATGTAGTTCGTCACCTGCTTAAGCAGAGATCCTTAGAGATGGTCTTTTATTAGAATATCTCAGAATCCTTCAAACAAATACTATTTAGTCATATTTTTTCTAGTAAGTTCTAGTTCCTATACTAACTATAGGGTATCTCTGAAGGGATCCCATCCAGATGGCGTCGGTTGAGCGAATAAATTGAGCTACAAGCTAAAAATAAGCTCCAATTGTTGCGATGCGGCCGCCTCGTCCAACAAACTTGTCGATTTCCACGGCCAGGCGGTGGCAGACGCATTGGCAACCGCAGCTTGCAGCAAAAAAATAAGCCAAAAAAATTTAATACAGCAAACAAAAATTAAAAAAAAAATAGGGAGAATTTATAATTTAATGATTTTTTGTATGGAAATATTTGGTGAATGCTGTTTAAGCACAAAATTAAGTAGTTTAAATAAATAATCACAAAAAACTGGCCTACCCAAACTACAAAAAAGGGGAGAATGAGCGCCATAAAAATTGCAGCTGCATTGAAATTATAATAATTATTATTATAATTATTTATAAGTGAAATTTGTTTTTAGATTTTTGTGCTGTAGGGTTTTTTTTTTATTTTAAAACTGTCGTCAAAGAAGATCGGAATGAATGGGAAGTGGGGGCTCCGAATATGGAGTCAATAAAATTTTTATTATTGGAGATATTTACAAACATAATTTTGATTTAGAAACAGATACTAAAACTTAGCTATTAGCATACATATCTCATAGATAATATTTAGTTTCTAAGACTAGAATTTCCTTATAAAAATACCATATATTTACAAAGCTAATTTCTTAAGATTATGATAGCTTCTATCTTCATAACCCCCATACCTTTCTTTTAATATGATCCATTGCCTTGTGCATCTCCTTGATTTCCACCTCCTTGAGCTGATCCAGGATGATCTGGTACTTTTCACGGTTCTCCACATCGAGCGCCACATGAAGGTAGTCGTGCCAGTTTCGGGAATCGAATCCCCAGTGACAGGTCTGATTCTCGGGCTTCCGGTCCACGTGTCCGACGAACTTCTGGGGCGAGAACCAGCCGTCGCACTCCAGGCACTTGATGCAGCTCGGCTTCTGGAAGGAGTACATGTCCGGGGTGCAGATTCCCTCGCATCTGCCAAAGCACTTGTGATACACCCGGAAGCTGAGGGCCCCCTTGGCCAGGCTCTCGATCGAAACGTAGCTATTCCGGTCCGATTTGTGGAGCAGAGCGGCGCAGAGGCGTTCGGCATCGGTGCGGGTGATCAGGCCGCTGGCCTTGACGTCCGACGGCAGGATCTTGGCCGCCTTGAACTCCACCAGCTGGGCGGGGGTGCACTGCGAACAGTATATGCCCAGCTCGTCGAAGCTCCGGTTGATCTGCTCCAGCGTGAAGTCGTTGAGGACGTTGTTGAGGAACTGCGGCAGGCACAGGCGCAGTTCGCCGCCCACCGAGAAGCATCCAATGGTCTTGCCCTCCAGCTTCGTTTCGTACAGTTCGCCGCATCCCGCATCCGCCACCGACAGGATCGGCTGGGAGAGCTCCCGCGGCGGTGTGGCCGGCGAGTAGATCTGCGGCTGGGGCGGTGTGCCGCGCGAGGTGCACTCATGATGGAGGTCCTGCGGCTCCGGTGAGCTGAGTATCTCCTTCTTGATCAGCGCCACCACCGGCGACGGCGGCATGCACTTGCCGTTGCTGAGGCCCAGCTCGGGACTGTCGCTCCGGCAGGATCCGTTGGGCAGGATGTCCAGGACACCACCGGCGGCGGCGGCATTGAGGGCATGCCCGGGCCCCTGGAGCGACTTGGTGGCACTCGTCTGGTATTTTTTCAGAACGGTATTGATCGTCACGTACTCGGTCATTTTCGCAGGCGATTCCGATTCAGATTCAGATCTCGATTGGCCCTAGTCGCTAGTGATCCATTTTAGTCAGTGATTAAGTTTAGAATGTTGATGGTTGGATTGGCACATTTGTGGATTGGGTTTTGTTTTGGTTTTGGCCGGCAAGTGAACTTCTTAGATACTTAGATACATTTCACCGACGGCTTTTCATCTTCAGGGCCTCCCCAGGCACACACACGCACACCCCCTGGTGGCGATTTTTGTCGCGTGTTTAGAATATTTCGATATTATTTCGGTTTTTATTTTTAGAAATATATATCGGCCGGCTTTTTCTTTTTTTCGGTTATGCGCACTTTTCGCTATATTCTCGGGCACTTGCTAAATTTTAGCCATAAACGATGGATATATATTCTTCTCGGCGCAATTTCTTAATTTCAATTTATGTATTTCATTTTTCTTCTCAAAACTTTTTTTTTTTTTTTTTTATCTTTCGGATGCAAAGCCACAAGCACTAACTAACACCAACGCAGCACTCACGCACGGACACCGCACACCGACGCGGAGACACACCAACACACAGGACAGACAGCAGCGACGAGAGAGAGAGAGAGGGAGATGTAGTAGGGATGGAGAAGAAACGCCGCCTGACAAATTCTTATTGTGCCTGGGCTCTTGTTTTTCTTGTTGTTGTTGTTGTTGCACTATTTATAAATCTTCGTTTTTGCGCCAGCAAATTATTATTATTATTTTTTATTATTTTGTTGCACTGTTGTCGTAATTGGTAATTTATTTGAATTTCGCACTCGGCTCTCCTGGCCGCAGCATAATCTTTATCTTTGCGATACTTTATCTGTGCCCTCTCAATATTATTATTATTTATTTTTTTTTTTCGCAAGCGTCGCACGTGCGAGCTTTTTCTTCGATACGAGAAACGAGAAGCCGCGCAACAACCGCCCGCACGTCCGCACCGTTTGAAAGTTCGAAGAAAAAAAAAACAAAAGCCAACACAATCTTGATTCCGAATTGCTCATGATGCCCACTGTCGCTTAACAGTCTTAAGCTTAACAGAACAGCTGTCCTAACAGACGCGATTTTGTCCATACCCGGTTCGTATATGAGGAACTAGTTCATACCGGAGAACTTTCAAAGTTTTTCAACACTTGAGCTGGCGCGCTCGGAAAAGCACAATAATTAAGCTTATTTTAAATTTTTCAACAAGAGAGTTACCAGATCTTTAAGGTAAAAGGTTTTTGTTAGGATTAGCTTTCATTACCTTCCATCCAATATATATTCGGACCGGTCCGTCAACATGTGGTTGTATGGTTAGTGCTAGCATTTAGTTAAAATCATTAAACAAACATAATTTTAACGCATATAATATGATAAAATCTTACAGATACATCTTACAGGATCTTTGATTACTGTGTTCATCCCCAAAGAAGTCCAATAACCTTTAAAAGCAAAATCTTCAAAATTATTTAAAAAAATAGCAATTATACTTGTTATTTAAATTAAAATGTTCAAGTGTGAGATTAATATAACATTTCATTTGTTTCTCAGCAAATAATGCTTGTATTTATTTGAGCAGAAAAATGAATTTAATGGTTTCCGGTTGATATGTTCAATAAAAGAACGAGGTATACCATTTATCCTTTGTTTTTTTTTTCTATAAATATATGTAAAGTTTAATGTGCTAACTTATAATTTAAATTTACTAAACAATTCAAGGTAAATTTTATATTCCAAGAAATTAAGATTTAAATAATGTTTATGTGACATTCTTAGCTTGGACACAAACTATAGTAGGGTTGTTGGATCAGCTATAGGAACGCTTTCCAACACTTTTTTAAAACATGAATAATTTTTGGCGGTTTCCTCGAAATGAAATATTCTGTTTTATATTCTTTCTAGTTTTGTTATTTAAATTTAGATGTGTAAAATAAAGTTTAGAGAAGTGAATCTAGTTCACAAAATTCTATAAACACACCTTTATGTTCAAATATTAAAGGATTTAAAAACCAAAGAAGAAAGAACCAAAAGTCACCTCAAAATCTGTGTTCTCCAAAGATAAGCTTTAAAATTTTCCTCTTAATTATTTTGATTTAATAAACAGCTTCTAATCATCGCCACAAATCCATAATCATCTTGATGGATCACTTATTTTAATGAAAATCGATTTAAAATGCATTTTCATTTGTTCCACTTAAACTCCAATTAATACAATTAATCAAGTGTCCTTTTCAGATTTGATTCCTGCATCCTTGGCCCCCACTAATCGAAATTAAGCTGCCCACTGGCTTTCAAGTGTGTGTGCGAATCCTTACAAATATATTGTAGTATGTGCAGCATGCATCAACGTTTAATCCGGTTACCGCTTTTGTTATATTTGATTATTTTGCCCTTGGCTTTGGAAGTGCCAAGTTTCATTTTATAGTCCGACAACAACAGTCCAGCAACAGAATAAATTAATGCACTTAATTTTATTGGTTTCTATAATTCATGCTCGTGAGCTGTTATCCTGTAAGCCCTATTGCAGTGGCCAGTGGAAATTCTGCGATTTTTTCAAGGCCAGCTGGGATATCTGATATGATTTGTGTATCGGTATATATTTTTCGAGAGGGGGGCGACGATTTTTTATAGTCCTGTATAAGCGGCACAGCTGTCGCTGTTTTTTGTTGCCAAAAATATTGGACAGCCATTAACTATAACCTTTTTCTTTGACACGAGTCCTTAAAGCTCCGAATCAGGCACTATTATCGCTTGTTAATTAATTAAGTTTTGCGATGCTGTTTAAAAATGGTAAATTCTTTTAAAACAGGTCGTTGGGGAAGATTTATTGTTAAAAGACACTTTATCTGATGCGAATATTAAACAAAAAAATCATATATCATTTTAATACTGTTTAAAATTATTGATATTATGGACAAAATTATGAATAAGGTCAAAAGTAAGGAATCTAGAGGTAAGGAAGGAAAGAAATCTAGGTAAGGTAATAAATCTAGAGGTAGCCATATCTAGAAGTCCTGAAAATAATCCTGCTAAGTAATTATTCTTTTTTTTTATGAAAATTAAGGTATGTATGAGTTCTTTAATACCAAAATTGATGATTAAGATCCTTAAGATTCCCATTTTTAATAAGTAACAGGGATAGTGTAGTTAGCAGGAAGAGTAGCAGGTATTGCTTTAGAGTTGGAGGATCTGGAATGGGTATCGAAAAAATATATAAAAAAATATCAAGTATATAAGATTAAGAAAAATAGATTTTTAATTTGAAGACAAATTTTAAAAATTAAAAAAATCTAAAATTAGTATAGTATCTATAAAAAAAAAATATCTAAAATGATCTATAGTTATTTTTTTGTAGGCCTAAATCATAAGAAATATCTCTTATCTAAGTATAGAATTTTAATATTTTATTCATTTCTGTCAATTATTTCTGGCAGTGCATCTTGTCGTGTCCAAGTCGATGTCCATTATTTTCGCAGGTATAGAGACATTGACCAGCGACGCCTGCCGTTGCCACTGATGCTGCTCCAGCTGCCCACGCTCACGTCGACGTCGCAGCTCGACTGTAAACATTCCAGGGCAGCTTTCACTCCGGCATTTTGAGTGAGTTTTGTGGGCCAGGACACTGGGCCAGATGGCTGACTCACTCAATTTGGGAGGGCGCTCGGATCCTGTCGGCTGGAAGCTGTTCGGCTCGTCGCCGCCTGGCCGTGTGGATGCTGCGTCGTGAACGGGCTCTGCTGCTGATGCTGCTGCTGCTGGTCCATGACCGTGTGAAAAGCTGCGTTGAGCGCATTAAGTCGTTAGGGTACAACCAGACAGGACGCACTTTCTCCGAGCTGCCGCGATTCGCCTGCCTTGGCGTGTGTGTACCGTTAGCTGTTCAGCTGTTTGTGCAGAGAGGAGGCGACCAGCGGGTAACCCCCTGAATCAACTCACCAAGCAGCCAACTAAATCTAAAAAAAATCGACAAAAAAAATAAACCGAAAAACTCCAATTCGAAAATAAACAAATAGGGGGGCGGCGAGTGCCAGTTAACTGAACTCCCCTTAACAGAATACTCTGATTGTGGCAGCTCCCGCGCGTACAAGTGTGTGTAAGTGTCTGTGCGTGTGTTTGTGTGTGTGGTGCGTATCCCGAACTTCAGCTCGAAGTGTGTTCAGAATCGAAAACAACATCAAAACCTGAAGAAAATAAATAAATATATTTGAAATAAAAATATCCAGAGAGGAAGAGAAATTCATTAAATTAAATATCCAATTAAAAATGTTTGCTTAAACGAACCAAGGTAAACATTCATTCTGAACCAAATTGTTGCTCTCTTCGCCTCCGAATTCACTTGCATTCCCCCCCCGCACCCCGATATCCTTTATCCTGTTTCTTGCTTCGTCCTTTTTTGGCTCCAAAAACCAATGCACTCGCTCTGGTGCAACAGCTTAAAAGTGTATTACGACTTTTCCCCACTCGACTCGACTCGATTTTCGTATAATTGTTGCGCCTGTTCAACATCCTGTGCCAGCTACCTCCATGTCCTGTGAGCAAATTAAAATTATTTTACTACCAGACTAGGAAACACAACAATCTGGGTGATATTCTGTTTCTTGGTTCAGCCTGATGTGAAAACAATTTCATTTGATTTGCGGTAAGCCATACAGAAAATTATTGAATTCGGTTTGTGATAAAATTGTGGAATGCATAAGGATCTGCAACGAATTGCCAAAAATCCTTTTGGCAGCCAACTGCAGCTTGGCTGTGTATTTGGCTTATAAACTGTTGCTTCTGACAGTTATCTTCACGAATCGAAGCAATTTTCTCGAAACTGGCAAGAGGGGAAATCCCAGGCGATTTCCCTTTTCTGCGCTGTTAGTTCCACTTCCTTGCACATTTTTTTTCGCTTTCGTAATCCTGGTTTTTGCCCTTTTACTTGAGCTCTGACTGATTGTTTTATTGGAATCGTAATCAGGACATCCATACATTTATTGGCGAAGCACTCTCTTGAAATCGGGAATTTATACGAGTGATGCGATAATTAAAATTTTAATTGTAACACAACTTCAATGGCGAATCCATTGTGCTGAGATTGTTGCCATGGCTGGGATTGCATACAAAATTGCAGTTTTGTGGTTTTGGGAGTGAAAAGTACCCTCCCTCGTGCAATTAACATTTAAGCATTTGCACTGCTATCAATCAGTTGGCCAAGACAAAGTTTTCTTTTAGCTGGGCTCCCTCTTGCCTCCTTATCATTCAATTTGGCCAAAAGGGAGGAAAACTTTTCTGCCAAACTAACAACTGGCCAAAAGCAGCAGCCACACATACAACAAAAATGGCCAAAAAGCGAAAAAAAAAAATGGAAAATGGAGAAAAAAAAAGCAACCAGGACGCGGCGTGTCTAAGTGGGCGTAAGTGGTCATGTACATGTGCGTCGGGGTGTGCGAGTGTGTGGCACTGTGTCTGTGGCACTGTGTGCCGTCGTGTTGAGTGGCAAGTTGTGTACACACGCAGATTTTTCATCAATCATTTTGCTTGACTACGCCTAGTTCTCATTTTAGGACTTGTAGTTTAAAAATTGGGCCGCAGCCCATCGATAGTTGGATGGGATGAGTGGGGACCGAAGGACATGAAAGCCCGGGAACATGAGACGACGGATGGAGCTCGAATGACACATCCCAAGCGGGGAAAACTGAACATCGGAGGGCTTTGGAGGCTTTAAGGCTGTTAAAGGTCTTGGAAAAGGGAGCTTATTAAGGACAAACAAATGGTAGATGGAAAATAAAAAATTTGGGGCCACTTTTTGGGGCCTAATCTGCATGTTCCAACAACATAGAATCGGAATATTGAATTTATTACCTCAACATTTGTATTTTGATTTATGTGTCCTGCTGGCGACTTTCAATTTATTTGTTTATTCACAAAGCAGGAATAATATTTCCACGAAAATGGCCATTATTTTATGATATTTTCCAAATTGAAATTATTGTGTTTAATCTTTAAAGTTAGTTTTTTTTTTAAATTATTTCTATTTTCGCTCTGTGGCTTCGGGTTAAATAAATATTTAGTTAAAGTTTGGGTTTCGTTTGTGAGTTTTGTTAGATGCCCACAGGCAATGGGTAAATATTAAAATTGTTTAATAGATTTATAAACAAAAAGGATATTAATAAAAAATGCACTTTAAATAATCAAGTTAGTTAAATAAAGAAATCTTTCACTCTTTTTTAATTGTTTTTTGAGAAAAGTTCAAGTGTTTAAGGAGTAATTATCCTTATCGAGTGGTTTTGAATGCGAAAAGTTATTCGCTTGCATGTGTGAGTATACCTTTATTCCACACACACACACGCACTCACCCATACGAGTACAAATATAAATTCGAATGGAGTTGTCGAAATCGCTCCACTTTGCGTGTGTATACACGTGGGTGGGTGTGCGTATGGGTGTGGGTGTTGGTGTGGGTGTGGGTGTCTATCTGTCTGCGAGAATCCAAAATCCCGAATACAACCCCCGTCATCAACCTGCAGCACAAAACACTTAAACCTAAACACGTTGTCTGTGTTTGTGTTGGTATTGTGTGTGTGTGTGTGTATTGGTGGGTCGTCCTGTTCGTCCTTTTTTGCTGGCGTCTACGCACAATATGTTTCGTCTTTAACCCAACCGAAAAGCTTCTCTGAAGACGAGAGCTTCAGCTCCACGGTGAAGTCCTTGCTCCTTGTCCGCCTTGGCTGCTTGTGGAAGTTTTAATGTGATTCCTTCGTATTAATTTCGACATCGTCATCGTTGCCCGCTACCACCACCCACTCGCACCACCCACTCTCTGGCCCGCTCTGTCATTTTCTATTTTTCTCCTTACGCACTTTTTATTGCCAGTCCTGCGTTTGCCTTCGTTTCTATTTTATTTTAACAACATCTTCGTCGCCAGCATGGAATTCTGTCGAGCTCGGCGCTTTCTCCCCGGCACTAACTTAACCGTTACCCAGTTCTCTCTCTCTCGTCCTTTGTCCTTGTGCATGTGTGAGTAAGGTCCTGTCTTCTTTTTATTTTTTTTTTTGTTTTCTGTGTTGCTTACACTTTTATGTTCATCATATGAAAGCGCGACTTTGTTGCACTAAACGTAAGTTGGAAGATTTACAACTTTTTTGGTTTAACACATGCAAAGGACTTGAAAGGACGAAACCGGGAGGGGCACAAGTAGGCACATCGGGTGCCGGGGGTGAAGGCCATGCTCAAAGTCTCACGGGAATCGCTGGGAAAAAAAAAGAATAGAAGCCATGTATATGAAGCCATGAGGGAATGCATAAAGTACCCACGCCACTACACCACACACCACCAGGATAACCTTTCTCGGCTCTGATCCTTAAAAGAAAAGTTACTATGCATAAAATGGAAAATTATCCCCATAAACTTTTCCGCTTTTCCTGCTTTGTTTTGCCTTTTTAATAACGTTGAAATGTGAGAAAGGAGCAATTAATAAACGTCGGAATTGTTGTGCGGTCAGCAAATAGTTTATGGAAGCCAGGCAAACACCTGGAGGTGTAAACCTGAAATTGTAACTGTATACACTCCAGAATGTGCCGAGGGAAATTAATTTTCACCTAGCCAAGTATCCTGGCATGTGCAATTTCATTTCAGAGCCAGAAGCCCCTTTAAAGTTTTAATTATAGCTATATTTTGTAGTTGAGTTCTGTATTCGCTTTGATTTCTAAATTGGAAAGTAAAGTGCAGATCTAAAAGTTGCAAGTTGCTAGCAGTGTCCAAGTTTCAATTGGCAAACAAAGGCGGAAAGTTTCTTAATTGCTCATTATCCTGGAATCAGGTTGCACGGCACTAACAACTGCACTTGCCGCAGCGCCAAAGCCGCAGGACTCGGTGCGCTTGGTTAACGGATTTTCATCATCATACGTTTTTACATCAAAAGCATTTCTAATCAGCAGGCAGGCATCCCCATCCCCATCCCCAACCCCGGCCCTGGGATGGAAAGCGCAAACAAGTTGCAAGTTTATTTCTCCCGACTGTGTTTTGCTCTTCGTCCTTTTTAGCCAGCTATTGTTTCGTTTGCGTATACACGAGGACCTCACATCCACGTGTTTTTTTGAAAAAAAAAGTCAGTCTGCATGTGTGTTTGTATGGGAATTGGAGCACATAACAACAACAACAACGACAAAAAAAAAATAGACAGAAACACAACACAGAAATAGAAATCATTTCAAATCATGCCCCACTCATAAAACACTTAAAGGACAATTTTGCTGTCACACACACACATACACACACACAGAGAAACGAAAGGGGGAAAGTTGGCAGTGCTGTTGCCGTGGTTTCTCTGCTTCTTGGCAGTCTGGGGTTAATTAAATAAATTCCTAAGCCACTTTTGCCCGAGCAGAGAAGCTTCATAAATTTTTGAACAAATGCTGCTGCCGAAAAAAAAAAAAGTACACGAATTGGTTATACATAAATATCAGAGTGTGTGTGTGTGTGCTGGTGCGGGTCCTGGTGCGGGTGCCTGGTGTGTTTGTCGGCCAGGGTTTTCAGCAAGCTTTCTCCCACAACAACAAAGGGTCCTCGGTACACAAGGCTCGCAACAATTGGCAGGACTCCGTTGGCTCCTTGCCTCTCCGCGGCCTGCTTGCTGCTCTTCCAGAAGTGTAAACAGAAGTCGAGTTTTGGCCGAGAGTCCTTTTCCTCTCTTTCGCTCAAACTCAGTTTGCGCCCAAAACTCACTCAAACTTTCCATCAATGGGCCCGATGAGTTCTGTGCCACTGATAACAGGCCTTACGCACACCAGACATAGACAGACACTCACACAGACACACAGGACACACAGATAGAGCTGTTTAAAAAGATGTCCTAGTCCAGAGATGGCGGGGTACGAAAAAAATACATCGAATCCTAGGAGTAACAGCGCGGAAAACGTTTGATAACGCCGCGCGCACAAAAGTATGCTACACAAAAGCACACTCGCTCCTGCTCCAGCTCCCTGGTCCTGCCATCTATCTGGAGAGCTTTGTGTCGGTGTGTGTGTGTGTGTATGAGTGTGTGGCAGTAAATAAGCAAAAGGCAAAGACGGAAATAAAAAGGGCAGCAAGTGGACAAGACAATGAAATTGTCATAAATAACAACGTTGTCTACCAACAACAGGGAAAAAAAGCATCAACAACAAACACAATAACACAACAGCAACAACAACAACAATCCGGACAGGATAACCAACAACAAAGGCCCAACTAGCTGAGTAACTGGAGTTGGTTGGTTTTTTTTTGTCATTTTTGGGTGTCTCTCGGTCAGTGGCTCAACTCTTTTTATCATTTTTAGCAGTTCCCCCGTCCCCAGGGTATTATTCGGGTAGATTAAGTTGATGGAAGTCGCCCTGAACGATTCGGAGCTTGGAGGTGAATTTTATGACAGGCAGTACAAGGAAAGTGGAGAAAGTAAAACGGTTAACTGGGATTACAGGTCAGTGTTGAGTTGAAAGACAAGGTAATTTATGAATCGGTTTAAAAAAAATGGACCATAAAGCATACATATATGGATCTATCTTTTTCTAAAACTTAAGATATCTAATTTCTCGACTATCTATAACTGATTGATTTATGGGAAAAGTATTAAAAGAAAACAAACTTTTAGTTAGAAACTCTCTCAAGGGACACTCCTTGTTCGAGTAGCTTCAGTTGAAACTCTTCGATATTCTTGCAATCGCCATTTTTTCAGCACTTTCCTGCCTCCGTTCTATCTCTTCAGTTGCTTTCCTTTCCGTTCTTTTCATTTCTTTTTTGTTCCTTAATATTTTTTCTTTTTTAGTTTGGCCTGTGCTCTCATAACGGATATTCGAAATGGCTGCTGTGGCGGCTTTAAGTGACTTTTGTCAAACTTTGGGCCGCTCAGCTATCCAAACACGAGTACTTATAGTTATCGATGGGGCAGGAGGAAGAGGTTTAAGGAGAAAGGGCTGGTGTCCAGATGTCCTGGGACAAGGAGCAAGGAGCAAGCGGGCTCCCGGAAGATACTCACATTAAACTAATGTTTAGTTGGCAGTCGCAACAGTTTTGCGAGTGTTGCGACCCTCGAAACTTTGACCGTAAATTTTGGCACGTGATGGGCGTCTGAAATGGTATGGTATGAGATGCCGTATGAATGGGAATGGTATGCTATGTAATATATATAAATATATATCTGGTATAAGGAAGTGGCTGGCCATGATTGGACTAGAGGGCGTGACTGAGACAATTGTTATTTCTTCAGTTCCGAATTGAATTTTTATGGCCTGTGACAGTTTGGAGTTGATGGGAATGGGAAAAGGCATTTAGAGTCATAATTTCTGCCATCCATTTAGCCTTCGCCATGCAACAGGCAATAGGGACATGTGTTTCTGGTTCACGCTATCAGCTATCGAGCCCAATGCTGATTAAGTTCCCCATTGTATTGGCCAACTGGAGGGGAAATCAATCAAATTTCGAGTCTGGGGCCCACAAGAGCGCGGGCATTGGCCCATCCGCAGATTGATGGACTCGATAGAGAAGTAAATGAAACAAAACTGCATCCGGACTCCCCCTCATAGCAAATATCAATAAACATTTAACTACGTAAATATTCACATCTCTATCTCTATCTCTTTCTCGTCTCTCTCTCTCTCTTCTATCTCTTTCCGCCCCGGCATACAGATAAAAAATCCAATTTAAATAAACGTTTTTTTTCGTTATACTCACCACATAAAGGCAACATGTAAATATTAAATAAAAAAAACACCAAATGCAAATATTAAACAAAAATCAATAAAAATACAATTAAAAAAAAAAGTTAAAAACGAAAGAAAACCCAAAACAAATAATAACAGAAACCACAAGAATAATGTGTTCGTTGAATTAAAATAAAGAAAAAATAAATATAAAAGAAAATGATGTTAAAGAAAAGCCTAAAGTAATGAATTTTGCTAAATCTAAATAGAAATCAAGCTCATTCGTATCTCTACTATCGCATCCATGTCTCTGCATCTGCACACGTATCTGCATCTGTATCTATATCTTTGCATCTGCTGAACGAATGAGAATAAGCAACAACATGCCAGCTAAATTCAAACTCAATACCCAGTATCAATTCATCAATCAGTCCAGTAAGCAACCAATCAAGCAATTCCATCATCAATTTGCAACTGCCATCAGCTCATCATCAACTGCAAGAGCAGCTACCACCACAACCAATACCAATACCACTGCAACAACAATCCTGACTAACTAAATGCCCGAAATTAAATGCACTCGCCTAAAGAATCCAAAATAAAATAGCTCTTAACCAGAGGCAGCACACCAGTATATCAATAACTATACTAAAAATTGCTTAATAATAAGAGGGGAAGGCAACAAACAGAGAGCTAACAATATTAAATCTTCCTGTTAATTATGGAACATTCATCAACATTTTTGTTGAGTTTGTTCCATTTGTTCCAAAACGAAAAGGTTGCCGACTGTTTGCAGCTTCAGTTACCACTACAACAACAACAACAACGACCATTAGACAACTCAACAACAACAACAATAGGCAAAACAACAACTAAATCAACCGAAAGACCAACAACAACATCAACAGCAGCATCAGCAGGAGGAGCAGTAGCAGGAGCAACATCAACTTCTACTACAACTTTCAGCTTCAACTCTACAACATTGCTGGGTAAGTGGAATTGGGGTAACAATTTCCGAGTGAAACGAAACGGAATGGAATGAAACTATAAATGCAGCGAATTAGCAAATGCAGAAATTTAATTTCCACACAATTTTCTGACTTGCTGTCCGGAGAGTCAGTCACTTCAAGCTCACCCAGATATGAATTTTGCCCAGTTTGCTCGAAAATTCTGAGGAATGTCTGGGTATTTAGCTAGATTCAAGGCCAATTGAGAATACTCTTGCCTTGAATGAGGATTTAAAATTAGAACTTAATCTTTATTAAAATATAATATTTATTGCAAGAGACTTGAGTAAAGATTATGATTTAATTTGTACTACCAGGCGTATACTTAATATTCAATGTCATGCAAAGAAGCAATTTCTAAAGATTTAAGTAGCCTTGGTTTAAACTTAGTATTTTTTCACTTAAATTTAAAGTCCAAATGAAATATTTAAGTAGTTATTATTTTTAGAAAAATTACGGGTTGAAAGCCAAGCGTCTAACAAGGCGTATACATAATATTCAATAGGCAAGGTATAGAAATAGGCGATTTATATAGTTTTAAGTAACTAATTTTTCAATTAAGTATATTTGAACTTTTTAATTTATATCCCCTTTTTATTTTTAGTAAAATTAGGGCTAAAGCTTAATAAGGATCTTCATAGCAGAGGCTTTCTTCACTAAATGTGACATACCAGGCGTATACTTAATATTCGTATAACTCTCTTGAACAAGCCATGTTTGTCCTTTCTTTGCTTATAAATTTCTATAAAAATAAATCATTTTTTAATCTAAAAACTTTAAATGGGATATTAAACTTAAAATTACTTTCCAACAACAAACCAAAAGAGTTCATTCATATGCCCGAGTTTGTAAATTTGTTAGGGCAAGTTGTCGAGCTGACGCGTCGGCCAGCCAGCAATCAAATAGTGTCGAGCTCAGCGAACTCGTTGCTTCTCACACAACAACAAAAAAAAGGGGAAAAAGGAAGGAAACTGGCTGGAAAATTTAAAATGACATCCAGGCAGCAAGGACGAAAAACTGAAAATCGTCGCCAGAACCAACGCCAACGCAATCGGAGTTGGAGAAATCGTAGTTGATGCTGACCATTCGTTGCTTGTTATGAATTTCATATTACACACGAAAATCCAATAAAAATCACCGAAAGCAATTTCGCATCAGAGGGTAGAGTTTGGTAGCACAGTTTGGGGCAACTGTACGGGAGGGTGGTGTGGCATAAAGACGTTTTTGAAATTTTTCTGACTAGCTGCAGCATTTTTACTGGCAATAGTTACTTTTGGCCATATTGCGATTGCCGCAATACATTTTGGGTAAACCGTAAAATGTGTTTTATTTACGTGTAGCATGTAACATGTAGCATGCAACATACAACATGGTTTTTTTTCTCGTTAGAAGCGATGCGGAACACGATGAATTTTATAGTGTTTTGAAAAACTCGCTTTGCTAGCTTTTTTCGTTGTCATCCCGCAGAGTGGTGTCGCAGTGCAGCGGCCAAAAGTTGCTTAATTTGATTTAAATGCCAGGACATGGTGGATGCAGGAGCATGACCCGAGAATTGGCATTCGCTAGACAAAAAAAAAATGTAGATGAAACAAATTACGAATTGAAATGCACTGGCTCAGCACCAATTAAAAATTCAACGAGTTTTTCACTTAAATATTTACTGGAGTCGAGTGTGTGTTTTTTCCACAAGGGAATTCATTTTCAACGCTATAAGAGATAGAAATACAAAGTTCAGGAAGTTTCTATCAGAATGCATCAAGCATTGAAGCTGGGGAGTGGAATTTGGCGAAGGATTTTAAACAGAGTTTGACATTTCGGCTGAAATGTTCATTTCCCCAGTTGTCATCGACTTATAATAGCTTTTCCCAGCCGCCTCTCCTCGCCTCACCACCATTTGTTTGATGTGTTTTCCGTTTTCAGTCCAGAGTCCCAAGTCTATGGTCCTATGGTCCGAAGCTCTCGATGGATGGATATCTGTGGACAGTCTCCTTTGAATTCCAGTTGGTTTATTTCATTGCAGCCCAACTGTCGTATGCAAATCTGCTTTGCTGATTAAACCTAAATAATGTTGCCTCAGTGTGCAGTGCAGTGGCTCCTTTTCCTTGGCTCCTCTCGCCAGATCCGGATCTACATCCGCTGATACATGTCTTTGTCTTGTCGGTTGCCTTAAAAGATGGGCTGTACCCTATCCCATCTTGGCTCAAAGTTGAGCAACTTTGCAATGGACTTTGGGAAGCGAGCAAATAAGTCCTGGCAAGCGGATCAGGAATGTATATTTACATTCAAGGCTCCTTTGCTGCAGCAGTACAGCGCCATTGAACGCAGTTTGGATTAGTTCACAGAATTATTGTTTATTAAATTCTATCCAATAGCTTTCTGAGGCAGAGCATCCGCCCATCGTTGTAGTTCACCCAGTCTCCTTCTGGCTTTTCTCCTTCCGCTTTCCTGCTCCTGGAGTCTCCTTTACCAGCTCCTGATGCTTCTTAGTTTTTTCCTCGTTTTTCTTCCTGCTAAATCTGAGACAATTTCCAACTTATAAGAGGCCGCCTCCATTTGTATAATAACACAAGGTCCTGCATCCTGCAGCAGCCTCAGCAACAGCTTCCGCTCCCAGTGTCCTGGCCACTTGTTGTTGCCCTCACAAACCCACATACATACACAGCAAAACACAGACTCAGACACAGACACTGGCATACTATCACATTCGCATACAGCCTTTTTTTTTTTTGCTTTGCATTGCAGGTTGCCTTTGGTGTATTTCCTTTTAGCCTGTCTGCTGCACGTAGTACAACATTTCCAATTTAATTTCTGTCTCAGCCACCAACCACCCAGCCCGTTCTTTGCATCCCTTTTCCCACGGCCCCCTCTGGGTGGGTGTCCTGGCCCAGTTGCTGGGTGTTGTGCTCTTCTGGCCGTGGCCATTGTCTTTGTCTTTGTTTGCTGTGCCATTTCCTTTTTGCGCCATGAAATTAACTCGCCTGCATATCCTTTCCCTATCCTTCCTGCTCTCCGGCATCCAGAAGGGTCTGGGGCTGCAATAGATTATCGTTGAATATTTTTGGTCGCCATTTTAATTAAACTGCGCCAATGGCTGCGAAATTGTTTATAATGTCAGCATCGTCATCCAATCCATCCTGTCTCCCGCAACTTCTCATCAAAATCGTTGTCGTCCTCATCCTCATCCGCTTCCATATCACAATCGACAGCATCATTATCGATGCCATGTCTGACCCAGTTGGCGGGCAACAGGCTGCTGGCGATGAGTTCGAAGGTCATGGGAGTTATATATCGTTGGAATTTTGGAAATTTGGATATTTTACTATGAAAATGCTCAGAATTAGGGTTCATAATTAATTTAATACTATTAAAATTAAGAATTTTCTATATATTTATAGCCACTTTTGTAGCCACCTCACGAATCCATCCTTAGTGAGGAGTACAATAAATAAGCTTCCTTCGTTCGTTTCCTCTGCAGTTCCTTGCTCTTCAGTTCTACTTTTAGTATTTCCCTTGTTGTTGTTTTGTACTGTTTTTGTTGTTGTTGTTGTTGTAATTACATAGCACTTGTTGTTTTGGCTTTGTACTAACAAAAGCCTTGACTTCGCCCCAATCCACCACCAATCCAGAAACCACCAACAACTGAGCTCTCAAAGGACGAAGAGCCAGCCACCAATAACCTCACTCGTCAGCCGGCGCACAAAAGTATGCAACCGAACGAGAGTATTTTGCCAAAATGACTTTTGACGTTCCTTCAATGGCAATATTTGCCATCGTGTGTGTGGGCTGGCTGCCTGGCAGGATGGCATACACAGCTTGTATGTTTATCGCAATGTTGGCTGTTGAATGAATGAAGAAATGAATGAATGGTGGAGTGCAGGAGTGCAGGCCAAAGGCCAAAAAGCGAACCGAGGTGCCTGAGTGCGTCTGTCATTCTGGCAGTCTGTCACTCAGCGTTTTAATATCGAAAACACTCTAAATTCCATGGCTGAAAGCTCATTTAACATGCAGTTTTACTTTGATTGGCTTTTGAGTCGCACTTAGTCGGTTGATTAGCCAGAGCGCCAAATAGAAGCAATTAGTGATCCTGATACTATAACAAAAGCAGGGCTTTAAAAGAGCTTCATATATAATTTAAGATCGTTTCTTTTTGAACCAACTAAGCCGCTAAGTGGATTCCCTTGAGCATAATTTGCAGCTAAAGCAAATTTGTGCAACGATTTGCAGTCTACACCGGGGTGTAGCACATCCAGTGTGTATGTGCCACCAAAGGGTTCAATTATGAACCGACGACCGCAAAAAGTTGAAACCTCAAAGCGGATACTTGGGCCACTTGTGCCGCACTGGGGGCCGCAGGTAATTTGAGGCTGAAAAATGCATCCAACAGATGTGCGAGGGAGGCCATGACTAAAGCCGCAGATCCTTTGTGGGTGGCAACTTTTTCCCTATTTTTTTTTTGTCGCGCCTAAGCGGTTGCAACTTTATGGGGAAAATGAAGTGGATAGTCCTTGGGTCACATGGCAAAGGGGATGGAGACTCTTACTCTTTCAATTTCAAGGCTCATTGTGTACGACGGCTGCCTCTCATCATTGGCGAAGCATTAAATTGACTTTGAAACTTTTTACCTGCCAGCTTTGTGCCAAAAAACCAGTGCCAGCTAGGAACGAACTGAAACTAAACTTGAAATTAATTAACCGCGACAAGGGCACGGGGGCATACCACGACCCTCTAGCACCAAAACCTGGCCCCACTGAAACCACTTTCTCCACTTGGGTCTGGGTTTTCACCATTTTTGGGATACACACGCACCCCAACATAACTCATAAAACCTCTAATTACACAAACAGCTGACGCAGCCATAGACAAAGGATTCCAACCAGGATAGAGAAGGATAGAAAGACAGAGAGGGGCAATACTCCCCTTGGGGCGTGGCAAGAAAGTGGCTCGTTTTCTTGACTCCACCACCAGGGGGAATCAAATAAGTTGAATATTTTAATTTTCCATCATAATTAATGCCCTTTCAACCTTCTATCCCCGGACTTAGTTTATCCCAGATGATGTGGTTGCTCTACCTCGTCTCTTTCGCACTCGATAGTGCGCTCTCTTTCACGTTCTCCCTCTGCGGCCATCGAGCACGTGTAAATTATTGTGGCTTTCTGCGGCACTGATGGCCGGCGCCTGAAAGCATGCTACGATGTCTGCATCCAGTAGTTGGCAGGACGAAAGGTTGTACTCTTTTTGGAGGTCCTTGTGTAACAGGTGATAGGAAGAAGTTAATTAAAAGCTTAAGGATAATATTTTAAGCTTGGTTTAATTAGAAACTAGTTATATTATCTTTTTCCTAAAATATCCTTTTCTTTAAAGGATATCTCAAGTCTATAGACTTTTCCTACTGTTGTTTTGTGAAATCGCGCTTCGCAGCTCATGCCATGCCGCACGCCACACGCCACTCGCAGCCTCGATGCCGCCGCCGCATGTATTTCAATTACTGCATTTCTCGGCCCAGTAGTCAGCCCCGCCTCTTCAGACGCCTCGCCACCCATGGCCCGCCCCTTTCCGCGACGCCACTGTTTTAATTTGCGCCTCGCCTGCTTTTGTTATTTTTTCGCCATCGGTTTTGGTTTTTTTTTTTGTGCCCAGGACCCATCTCCTGCTCCTGCTCCAGCTCCTGCTCCTGGTCCTGCGTTTTTGTTCGCCTCTCGTTTTTACGCAAATTCATTGTTTTAATTTACTCAAGTTTGTTGACCGAAAACAAAAACTAATCAATGGCTAGGGTTTCTGGATGGTGGCCTTTAAGGTGGCGACACAGCTGCATCACTTCTCATCCCTGGCATATTGGGGTTAACATTATACATTTTTATTTTTAATTAAACATAAGCTAACTTACCTTTTTTTTCTGTATCATATTTCCGGGTCTTTGATTTGGTTTTCGTCCTGTCTGTTTTTGTGGTATTTTGCTTTGCGGCTGCCAGTTCCCCAAGTCCTGGCTGGGGATTCCAAATGAAAGGAGTAAACTGTAAAAAGATTCCGGGTGTAAAGTGACCTCAAAGCGAAGTAGATTATAGACTGGGGATCTAATGAAAAATTCCCTTAATGACTCTATTAAATAATACTATTTTTTTTTCTCTTTCAGCAAAGAACTTACAACTGAAGAATACAACGATTCCAAGCAGTAGCAAAATAATGATCACTATCATCTAAAAATCAGAAACAACAACTGATACCTAAGGTTTCTCAAGCTTTGAAAATAAATAATTCAAACCGAAAAAAAAAAATAAATAAAGAAGCAAATAAAAGAAAAAAGTGCAAATTATGTAAATTATAGAAAAAAAAGGAAAAAAGAGAAGCCCCAAAAGCAAACGAAAGAGAATTAGTCAAATAGAATCGAGGAAAGAAACTCCAGAAGGAACGAAAAAAAAGGAGAATCTGTGACCAGGAAAACCGGAAATTAAATCTGCAACGCACCCCCAAAGTGGAAGAGGAAGCAGCAGAACCAGGACCACAGCACAACCACAACCGCAGGAAAATCCGAGGGCAGCGCGCTGGGGGAACACGCGTGCCAAATATTTGCTCAAAAATAGCAGAATAAAATAATAATCAAAGGCGCGGTAGCGCCTCAGAAAAGCGCAGAGAGTAAAGAATTAAGAGGTTCCCGCCCGGTTTCCCCAGATATTGGCAAGCATATAGTTTAAGCATCCAACGAAGGACGAGCAGCTGAGCAGCCAAGGACACCCCGAACCCGAAGGCATTGTTGACACTCGCAGCTTACGCTTCGCTGACCTCTGACCCAATCATCGCTTTGTCTCGGTATTTTGTGCTAATCATCGTTACTTTGAAATCCCGACCAGGAGCACTGGCCCACTATTTAGCCAAGGTGACAAGGCAAGGATTGTCAACCACTTTGGAAGAGCAGCAGCAGCACAGCACCACCCACAAGTCAGCCAGCTTTGTGAGGAGGCGAGGAGGTGGGCGCAGGAGGGGCGGGGCAGCCATTCAACCCGAGAGCCACGCGAAACAAACAAGCCAAGGACATGGACTCCCCGCTGCCAGCGTCGCTGTCGCTGTTTGTCCTGTTGATCTTTCTGGCGATAATTAAAGGTGAGTGCCCACGACAACTATTCTCAGAGCTCACACCCTTGTTTAACTTTCATCACCGCCCTCACCTTGGCCAACAAGGACCCTGTTTTTTGAGGCCCCAGATTTGCTTAGGTTGCCACTAATTAAATAATTGTAAATATTCCAGTACAGAATAGAGTTTTGGAAGAGTGAGGGGAAAAATCCACGAGGTTATTACTTATTATTCCCTTGCAGTGATTTCCTGAAAGGAGAATCAATATAGAAATCGTTTAAGGTACTCCGCTTGAGAATCGGATGAGAATTGCGGAAGATATAGCCATCCCACTGGGCCCTATAGGCGAAAAACCCATTTTCAAGGGAAAACCCCATTTCAAGGTATCCCATGACGAAAAATGGGCAAAAAATCTTAAAAATATTTCGTCTCAGGATTTTGATGCAGAACGGTGGAGAATCGATCTAGAAATCGTTTAAGGTACTCCACTTGAAAATCGGATGAGAATAGGGGAAGTTATAGCCATCCCACTGGGCCCTATAGGCGAAAAACCCATTTTCAAGGGAAAACCCCATTTCAAGGGATCCCATCAGGAAAAATTGACGAAAAATCTAAAAAATATTTCGTCTCAGGATTTTGATGCAGAATGGTGGAGAATCGATCTAGAAATCGTTTAAGGTACTCCGCTTGAGAATCGGATGAGAATTGCGGAAGATATTGCCATCCCACTGGGCCCTATAGGGAAAAACCCATTTTCAAGGGAAAACACCATTTCAAGGGATCCTATTACGAAAAATGGACGAAAAATCTAAAAAATATTTTGTATCAGGATTTTGATGCTGAATGGTGGAGAATCGATCTAGAAATCGTTTAAGGTACTCCGCTTAAAAATCGGATTATGAGGGGGGAAGATATAGCCATCACTGAGGGCCATATAAAGCACTATTTCCTATAGCTGCCATATAACTGAACTATCGGAAATGACCCTCCTCTTGTTTTTTAATAAAATCATAAAGACATAAAGATATCATAAAATCATAGAGATATGTATCTATGTACCTGTTTGCCTGGCTTTGACTTTTCTCAAGAAAAGAGCTTCACTTGCCATATAAAGGACAAACAATTGAGATACACCAACTCCAAACCCTATTTGTTGAACGCCTCCCACCTTGCCGCAGACTAACAATTGCGTTAACAAGTGCTCGAGCGCTTCCGACTTTCGCTGAGAGCAGCAGAAACTCGAACAAATCCCACTTATGTCGCACTATCAATTTCAAATACGAAATCCCTTCCACTGGCTGGAAGCCTCAACTCCAGCTTCATCCCGAAACCACTTTCCACCTGCCACCGCGCATAAATCTTGCGGCAAGGTGACACTGCCTGGCCTTGCAGCCCTAGCCCATCCTTGCAGCCATCCAGCCGACACATTATTCAATTCCGCATCCGATTTTTCAATTTCCTTGCGAGCGTTTTCACGGCGCTTTAAGCAGGCTAAGAAAATGTAAAAGTAAAAGCCAAACCTCTTTCCACACAAACAAGGATGTGTTATCCTTCTATATCTATGTGTTATATGCAATTGTGTGTGTGGGTGTGTGCGGGAAATTCCCAGGCAGCAGCCCATAAATTCACATGGAGATCGCCCTGAGCCAAACTTGGCCATATTTTTAGTTTTCACTGCTCGCTGAGTTCCGCAATTGCCAGAAAAGCGGGAAAAAGTTGAAAAACAAAGACGTCGAATGGAGACAGTCGAGGGAGTGGGGGCGGGACGGAGCTCCTGGGGAGTCGTGGGAGGTACACAGCAATGAGACAAATATTCACGTAAAACAGAAAAAAAAATAGAATTGTCATGCGGAGCAGTCCCCAGGAGGCCGCACTTCAAATCCAGCCACCGTCTCTCTTCCCTGGAGTGACTCGAGGACTCGCAGAAAAATTCACATGCCCCAAAGGTGGCAGCAGGGCAGGGGAAAGGAGGTGCGACAGTAAAGGGAAAACAACAATGCCCCCAAAACGTTATACACAATATCTGTCTTTTTTAAGTTGCATCGAGAGTTGAGAAGTTCCGTGGCACTATTTTTTTTCCCATTTTTTTTTCTTTCCACTTTTTACGGCGCTCTGGTCCGATGAAGTCTCATGTGCCCCAATGTTGACAAAAATAACAAGCCACGGGTCGGGGCGGCGCGATTCAACTCAATTCACTTTGTTTGCTTCAAGTGTTGCCACTGCCACGGCGGGTACTCGATGCCCCAAATGAAGATTGCATTGAGAGTGCAGGATATCCGCGAAGGATATATCAGAGACTATTCTTCAAAATGAAGTCTATCAGGGGAACTCCAATACGAGTTACATGAAGGCTTACTTAATGGGTAGAGTAGGTTGGATATTCCTTAAATTAATGGTTCTTTTAATTATTAATTAAAATTGAATTAAATAAGGCCATAATTTAATTCTTAGATGAGGGTAAAGAGACTTAAGAATAAAATATTTTTTAGAGAAATAGCCACTTGTAAGATATCTTTCCTTTTAAAGAACTTCTGAAGATCTGATATACTCTTCAAGAATTCTTCTCAAAACCATGCCTGCTCTTTCCACTATTTTCCAGCCAAATGTCCTGATGTCCTGGCCGGGGTCCATTGTCGTCTTTGCCGCTGAAAAGTTATTACTTAAGCGTCGCTGGGGGAGCTGACAAGAAAATCTTTGACTTTGTCCCGACCTGCGCTCTACGGCTTTTCTTTATTTTCCTTCCATTTCGCCCCCTACCATTTTCCTGGGGTCTCTTCTCCTGCTGCCTCAGTCTTCACCACATTTCCCTTTCCATTTCGCGCTTCTTTTGAGATTCCCCGACAGAGACTAATGAAGACGGCAGTCAGGCAGGCTTGGGAGGCAGTCCGGGAATTGGGATTGCGAATCGAGATTGCTCGGCCAAAGACAAATATTTTCAATAAGCTGATATCGGAGTGTGCACTGATTGGAAAATCAGGAGTTGGAAATTGCCAAAAGACGCCATTTTTCAGCATTCAATGTTATTGCCTGGCTTTGTTGTTTTTTTTTTTTGTTTTTGGGGAAAACGCATAAATTGTGCGACCGACCGACCATCCGACCATCCGACCATTCGAGTCCTGACTGCAGCACCTTGACACTGCTCCATGGGGTCCTTCCCAAATATCCCGTGTTTATATATATGGGCCGGTCATATATTTTGTTTGTAAGACATTTTACGCATTTTCGTGCATTTAAATGACATAAATTTCTATTGGATTTGCGATGCAAAGCTGGGCCAGACATTTCAGCTTTAATTTGTTGTTTCGCCTTCCCCCGAAGGCGTTCATCCGTTTCCCATTTGAATGCGAATTCCCAATTCTGGTGAGCAGAAGTCGTGGGATTACCTCGGCCACAATGTATTTGTTAATATCCTTGTTAATATCCTGAGAACTGGCGCAGAACTTGGCCGCAATGAGCAAACTTCTGCCATCCATTCCAATGCCATGTGGCTGCCTCTGTTCTAAGCCAACTTTCAAACTTGGCCTGTCCTCCACCGCCGTTTATTTCGTGGCCACAGCCAGCTCCACTCTCCTCAGGATTCCAGGTAAAGCGGATAACTCAGACCCAGACTCCGGCTGTGGCAGCGGCGGCGGATGTGCCCCGTGCCTTTGCCAGCGACACTGGTTCTGAGCCTGATTCTTACTGTGACTTTGGGTTCGGTTAGAGTTTCCGGCTCCGGTTGTTCGCAGGAGCAACTTTCAAGGTTGCCGTGCCGTGGTCGTATCTATCGTAGACAGATCCGGAGCCGGACAAAGGCGCTGTGCAAGTTGCAGTGTAAGGAAAACAAGTTTTAGTTACGCGCTCTGCACTTCCGTGGCGCCACCGACGAGCTAACCTTGCTCTCCTTAGAGTTTCCTTGCCTTCCACTAGAGGTGAGCGATATATCATTGTAGTATCCAACAGATATCACATCCAAAAGATACAATGGAATATTCTGTATATGGTTCTATTGAAGGTCTGATGATCAGTAATTACATGCCTGCCTCACGCTGTCACCTCTAGTGTCCTGTGGGTGGCTGCAAATCCTAAGCCACTCCCTCCCATGAGGCACCTGTAGGCATCTCCGCCCGCCCCATCTTAAGTTCCAGTTGCTCCCCATTGTCATCCTTGAATGAGTCAGCGATGCCGCCACAAAAGTTTGCAAATAAGTATTTTTTATACTGCCAATCCCGACGTTTCTGCGTCGTCCCCCCTCGTAAAAAAGCACAGGAGGGCTGAGGAAACTTAGTGCCTGCGCCTAAATAACCGTAAACAGCACTCGTGGGCCTCCCCGGGAATAGGGAGATAAAACGGAGGGGGCTGGGGCGGGGATGAGCAGAAACAAAAGTTGATAAGCATAAATTTGCTGTAATTTAACGCATTCAATTACAAAAACAAGAAAGTAAAAAAAAACTGAAGCAGAAGCAGAAGAGGAAACGACGAAAGGAAAAGCCAGGGAAATAATGTTGGAAAGGAGCAAGGATAAGGGAAGGATATGTTGGAGGGCTGGAGGCTGAGAGATTTGAGACTTGCAAGCTGCGCGCGGTGACTTACTTAAAAATGTCATAAAAAAGAAACAAGTAACTGGAGAGGACTCTGGCCCAAGGACGAGGGCCACACCTCAGCTTAGCTCACCTCCCACCCTCCACCACTTGGGAGTTTTCATTCGCTTTATGACCTTGTATTGGTTTCCAACGACTTTGTGATTCCGGACAAAATTCCTGACTCACTTTCAATCAGCCCCGGCTGATGCCATGCCCCGAAATCGAGTATTATGTTTTCCCGACTGGATATTATTCAAATTAGACGGGGAAATATTCAGCGATTAACTTTGTAAGTATAGTTTATGACTGGGATCCTTTTACGACATGAGTATTTTCAGTCGCCCAACTTTTACGCTCTCAATTAATAGGTACTCAAAAAAAATTACCATAAAGCGAGTCAATAAAGCTTTTATTGATTTCCATGTAAAATGCCTGTAATTCAAACGAATTGTTTCATTCATTCCCTT